CAAAAATACAGTTAGAAAGGAAAACAAAAACCAAAAATTGAAGACCTGAGCTCCGTCTTCAAAACCCAAACCCTAATTTGTCCTCGACTACCGACTAGAGAGATACTGAGTCCTTGATTGGCGAATCAAAGCCGCCCGCCCGATCGGATATTCGAGGGATTCAACGGCGCAACACAGAAGAAGAAGAAGAAAAAAAAAATCTCTGCAGATCGAGGTTTCAAAGGAAAAAGGGCAAAAGGAATATATTTTTTAACTTGGGAGAGGGGAAAAAGGAGAAAATGGGGGGGCGCGCGCGTGCGGGTGGGAAATTTGGTGGGCGCGTAAGAAGAAAGATCGACACGTGTGGGGAGGGAAGGAAATGCAATTCCCGGTATTTTCTGGTGGGAAGGCACAAAATACCTTACAACTAACATGTGATGATGTGGGGATCTTCTTGTTTTTCGGGTTTTTTTTTAAACCAATTTGAGAGGTGAGAAATGCATGATCAAAACTTTATTCTTGCAAATAAACAAATAAATTAATTAAAATAATAACGATAATAAATTATGTGAGGGAGATAGAGTTGTTGGCTCTCGAAAACTCAATCTTTGTGTTGTTTATTAAACGAGGCAAGCCAGCTCGCTTATAAAACAATACGAACTCGAACATGAACTATTTAGTTTGATATGGCTCAAACTAACACCCTTACTTGGGGTTTGCGCTCTATCATAAGGGTGGCAAATATTGGTTATCTTGCTACATTATCTTGTTTTGTTGCTATCTACTTTTATACTATTAGTAAGTATATCGGATATGATAATAAGTTAAACTTTAGCCATATTTTTAATTTTGTGTTTTCCGAGTCACGGTTTATGTCATATAGTTGTGCCGTTTTGATTGTGTCATTAATCTCTACGATCATACTTTCTAATTATATCTTGTTCGTGTTTTGTGTTCACAGACATTGAAACAACATTTAAGAACGTCCAAACTCTGAAATCCCGAATCTTTTTTATTAATCATTGACGATATTTTGCAAGTGTCACTCGAAGAGTCCAAGTATGGCAAAATGCATCATTCGAATAATTAATGATTGTCAAGTATTGGAAAAGAGCTTCCAACAAATAATATACATTATGATAATCTAAACATTTAAATGTTATATACTCAACTTACTCAATAATTTCACTTATACTTCAACTATAGTGTATGCACCAATAGGCAAAGTAAGTTTTATTATATGTTCTGCAAAATACATTTATCATTTCATTACAAATAACCATAGATAATCTCATTGAGTCCTCATACCACAGCGAAAAAAAAAAAAATGCCCACTAACAAGCTTTTCCTCTTGGCTAATTAGTGAGAGATTGGAAAATTGAATGATTGATTTGAGTTTCAACCAATTATGAACGATTAACTCCATACAACTTTCTCTTAGGTAGTGGACCATTTTTTTTTTCTTCCTTTTGATTGTTTAATCCAAATGTGAGAATTTAGCATCCATCATAATTTCTTTTAACTCTCTATTATGTGATGCTCTAGGCATGTAAACGAGCATCGAGAGCTCGATCCCTTAACGAGCTGATTTCGAGCTTTAACGAGTCGAACTATAAAAACTTATATAAAAAAATTTCTTTTCGAATCGAGTCGAGTCAAATTCGGCTCGTTAACCAAACGAACTTTAAATGAGTTCAAACTCGACTTGGTAAGACCTCGAGTCCGTGCGCCCTACTTGAGCCTTAACAAGCCGAGTTCGAGCCAAACTCATTTAATTTAACAACACTACTCGTCCTATACATATTTATTGGTTATTTTCTATATGAATTGCAGCTATTTTAGAGATTTATAGCATGTTTGGATATGAAATTTTTTGGTTTTGTTGAAATTTTTGGTTTGGTTTGGTTAATTTTGAAAAATGTAGTATGGTTAATTGTTAGTGGGTATATTAAAATAATATTTAAAATAAAAAAATTAAAATTTAATGTGATTGTTAGTTAAAATAATGTGAGTGGATGAATAGTGAATTAAAGTTGATGTGATGTGTATTAATGATTGATTGATATTATTTTATTATATTGATAATATTGATAATAGTGGGGTTGAGTTAAAGTTGAGTTAAAAAAAGTGATCGGGCGATAAATATATGTTATCCACATCAAATAATGGTGCTGTGTTCATTGAGTTAAAATGTTACGGAATTTTTCGTGAGAATTCTTGTATGCATAATCCGTACACCAAATCAGCTCATCCTATACTTTAGATATACATATCAACTTAGCAAAATCAATATATTTTCAATACCAAATCAACAAAATAACTATAATTCAGCCACAAAATAATGTATCTTTGGAGTCACCAAACAAGAAAAAGTTCCATTCTACCATTAGCACATGGGTACAAATTACATGCAAGCAGCAAGAAGACATATATCCTTCATTCTTTCTTCTTCTTTTTTTTGTTGAATCTCCTTCTCAATCTGACCTCATTCTGTTAATCTGGTTCAGCGCCGGCTGCAAGATGTTGTACAGCACCCACGCGATCGCCGGCGCCACCACGAACAGCAGCAGCTGACCCCGGTTGTCCGCTGCGGCCTCCGCCACGGCGGCCGAGGCCTCCGCCGGGTGGAGGAACCCCTTCGCGGCGAGCCCGCCCAGCCCGAGCCCGATAGCCACGCCCTTGGAGCTCCTCATCCGGTTTATCTGGTTCAGCGCCGGCTGTAGGATGTTGTAGAGCACCCAGAGGACGGCGGGAACCAGCGGGATCAATAGCGCGATTCCGCGGTTGTCGCCGTCGGCGATCTCCGCCAGCTGCTGGGCGGCGATGGCGGGATCCGCAGCGGAGAGGGCGGAGAACACGGCGCCAGCGAGGGCGGCCCCGGAGATTGAGTCGGCAGGGCGCGCCATGGCGGCGGCGGAGAGGCCCTTTTGTAGGTTTTGGAGGGAGATAAGGGAGATTTGCTTGGTGGGCTTTGTGGTGGTTTTGGAGTTTGTGATGGTGAAGCTCTTGGGGTTGAGGATAGCCATTGATGTAGCCATTGTAGCTGCCATGGGGAGTGTAAAAGGAAGCTTTTTTTTTTTTTTTTCTGGTTCTGGTTGATCTTCTTTTTGTTGGTAAATGAGGTTTTGGAGTGTTTTGGGGGAGTGTTAAAATTGAATTCAATATAGGAAAATAGGAAAAAATGGGGGTTTTTGAGTGAAGGGGGAAAATTTGAGATCCAATGGGAGATGATGAGTTGTGGATGGTTTCTTATCCTCAAGTTGTGTGATTGGTGAGATTTGGACCTCATATTAGTTATTGGATGCCCCACATTGGATTTTCTTATCACAAACTAATTTATTAAACAATTTGTTTTGTAATTTTTTATGAGTTTTTATATGAGCATTATGCTTTGTAATTTATTAAACTTATATAAATATTAAGTGAACTTTGAACTTATAATTGAGAACTTATTTATGGTTGAAAAACTAGCTTGTATAATATAAATATGATAAAATTAACTAATAAACTAACTAGAATAAAATTTTAACTGATTTATTTAAAAGTAAATCAATAAAGTTTATAAGATTTGCTCGAACTATTCGAAAAGAGTTACTCTACCAAGTTTATTTGAATATAAAAAATTTATAAGCTAATCAAATAAGTTATAAGCTAAGCTTATATCCTTACCAAATGCTATTGCAAACCATAAACTATTATGATACTTTCTAAAAGAAAATCTATATTCATAAGGTGAAATATCGTATTTTAGTTATATTATTTAAGGGTTTATTGCACCAAATCCCCCTGTATTATATGAAATCTGTGCGTTATCCCCTTATATTTCAAAAATTGCGTTAAACCCCCTTCTATTTAATATCTGCGTGCATACTCGCAACTTGATGTTAACACCGTTACTTTAATACTGACGACGCTACTTTTTCGTTGAATTCACCAT